GAAAGCAAGGGTCACCCCCATGTTGTCAACTAAGAAAAGGAGCCGCTTGCAACGACCGAGGCGAGCTGCACGCTGTAGACCTTTTACTAGGGCCCTGGCTTCGAGAACCCCGATGTCCTCATCAAAGTCCCACCTGCCCCAACGCACAGGTCTCCAAAGCTCCCCGTGCAACAGGCCGGCGGGGACCTCAACAAAGTCACCTGCTATCTGCCAATCGTGCTCCAGTTCCGGCGAGTCCTCATGAACCAACCAGGCTTGAGAGTCTGCATCCCACCTGAAACCAGCAGCAGTGAGAGCACTTTCGCGGGCAGAGTGAGGCCCAACGCGCCTGAAGCGGGAGCGCTCTCCAACACGCCCAACATCGGAGACCACCTTTTCGGGCCAGGTGGAGCAACACACGCCATAGCCCCCTTTGCTGGCATCTGTCATCGTAACATAAGGACTCCAAGACCGCCACCAATCCGCCCGAAGAAAGATCATGGCCCCGGCGAAGGTGATGAGCTCCTGCCGGACATTATCCCACAGGTAAGACGGATTGAAGTAGCAGCTCTGGATATACTTATACACGGCATTGAAGACGCTCAGCAGAGGACGGCAGAGCAAAGAGCAGAACGTGGCGTGGCCAACGATCACCTCCAGGACCCTTCCGGAAACTTTCCGTCTACGAAGCAAGCCCTTGATGGCCTGCCGGACTTTGTGGAATCTTTTCGAAGAAATCCTGGCGCAGAGGGCGGAGCCATCCAGCTCAATGCCCAACGCCGTAACTTCACTATTGACCTCACCTGGATGGAGTAGCAAACCCCGAGAGGTGAACTCCAGATCCAGTTCTTCCAAAGCCCCGCGGACGACAGCCTCATGAGGGGAAACCACTCCAAGGTTATCGACATACACATAGTGCCGCACCTCTGAATTGGCGTCTTTCTGTCCCAGGTCCCTGAAGTCAAAACTGACGGCAGCCCCACGATCACGGATGCATTCGGAGGAGACTAGACGGGGCACCGTTCCAGCGACGGCCTCATTGATGACTTGGCAGAAATACAAAGACCAAGTGAATCCCATACACAGGCTCCCCGGGATAGGATACACCTTGTCTTGGGAACGCAGAACCCTGCCTTCCACAGTAGCCCCAGTGAGTCCAAGGTAGTGAGCCTCGAGAGGCCTCATGCAGAAGTACTGGGCAAGCCAGAAGGGTTGACGAAGACGGTGAAAGGCATCTTTTACATCACTCAAACCGAAGTGGAGTCCCCGGCCCTGCAAAGTCTGGCGTAGAACTGAAGGTTGATGTCGGCAAGCCTCTGGCAAAATCACCTCAATACGGGAGAAACCCTCCGCCGTGCAGAGGTCAACCCCCGGAGGGGGAAGAAAATGTCTATTGGCTGCCCGTGCATCCACGATCAGTCTGATGCGCTTGCCGTCACTCTTGTGAACGAAAAAGATCCCGATGTGCTCTTTTGGTTGCGCTGTGAACAAAAGAAAATCAATGCTCATAAGCTTTCGAATGAAGGCAACATAATCACGCTTGCTATGTAGGAGACAAGGATCCCAGTAAGGAGTGAAGGACTCCGTGGGCGGGTCCTCCTTCAGCATAAGCTCTGGCCTGTCCAAATATCGACGGGCGCCCTCCGGAAGAAGCTCGGCAGCAGGAAGAACCCCTGACAAACTTTCTGGAAGGGAAACGCGCTCGAGGTTGAACGGCGCCAAGGATACAGGCTCGGTGGGAGCATGGTACTCCCCCCTGCCCTTGAGCAGCGCTGTCAAGGCTGCCTCGGGGCCCTGGACATCTCCCACATCTCGTGGCTTTGCGACATCCCGGGCCAGATTCTCAATGTGCAGAAAAACCTCCTCCTGATGTGGAGTCGGCGCCGCACCAGCAGGCGGAACATTGCCACCTGGACCATGCATCCAATTCAGTGAGTTCACGGCCGCTCGCAGGTCGTCACGAACCCGCGACTTACGGTCAAACCTCTGAGCCCCCCTACGACTGACGTGCCGCTCCCGACATAGAGGCTCAGGAAGCGGCAGGGGGAAGAGGTCGTGGCCACCACTAGTCAGCTGGCGTGAGGTTGAGGAGGAAGGCCCCAGCTGATGGCCTGCCTCCCGATCTGCGTTCATGATGAGCTCGGGGCACCTCGGCCCCGCCCCCTCATCTTGGGAGCTGCCTTGGCGCCCGCATCAGAGGTAGTCTGACTCGAGTCCGCCTCCTCATGATCAGGTGGTAGGAGCCGTCGATGGTCCTTGATCTTGGCTCGTGCATTCGCTAGTTCCACTTCCTCCTTCCCGCGCTTTGCTGCCCATGCCCGAAGCTGTGGAGCGACGATATCTTCAGGCCCACGGATGTTCGTGATGTACCGGGCAGCGCCCCAGTCGGGAGCACTAGCTCCGCCCGCCGCATAGGCGTCTACTATGCTGGCCAAACGACGACACAGCACCTCAAAGCATGAGAGACAGGCCATGTTGAGCTGATCATAAACGCCAGCCTGATACAGGGCCTCGGTGATAGTACGTAGCTCGTGCATCACCCTGTCTTGCTCCTGAACGCCTTTGGCGCGGGACCAAAGTAGCAGCCATTGCTTGGGGTTTCCCCCTTGCTTCAACGTCTGCTTCAAGGTGTGGAGCACAGTCATGGGGCCCTCCCAAGGCCAGTCATGGTAGCTGTACTCACGAGACTCGGCAACAACTTGTCTCCATCCTTTGAACCTCTCACCGTGCTCATCGAAGTCAACGGCCAATGTCCTGGCATCCTCGGCGGGAGGGTCCTCTCGGTCTTCAGGAGGAACATCGGGAAGCCCCAGACGAGGAGCGTGAGGCTGCGACTCAGNNAGATCGCACCCAAACAAGTCGCTCTTTCAGGTATTGATCCACATCGAGAGCCTTGACGAGCTCAGCCCTATACCACCGGCCACCGAGAAAGAAGGCAGCGTTGGAATCGTCCATGCGAACTCCTCCGAGGCCCAAGATGTCTACCTCATCTCCAACGTTAACGTTAGGACCGCTCTCTGCACTGAGCCACAGGTGTCCCTCTGGAGGAGCGGCCAAGGGGCCAGGCGCCCTTTGAGCTCCGGACTGGCCTGCGGGGCCCTTCCCCGAAACCCTGCGCGGCACCAGATGGCGCCCCATAAACGCCGTGGCATCAACAAGGGACCCGTCCTGCAAGAGGATCTTCTCCGGCCGCCAAGCTCCGTCGGCAAAAACCGCATCGCCCAACTCGTTGAGTATCTCGGCGATGCTCTGCTTAAGGGCCTCATCCGAAACCACCTCACTGAACCTGTA